AACAAAATATTAGCAAAAATTCAAAATTCTACTTTAAATTTTGCAAACTCTATCGTGATTTCCACGGACTCCGGGTCTTCGGAAAATATTTTGAGATGTTGGGAACGGAATTACAAAATTATGGTGGAGGGCATTCAAAATTTCAAGCATATGCTTTCATAGTCTTGAACACAATATTTTTGATTTAAAAAAATCTTAACATTAATTCTTTAAAATTCCTTGAAAAACATTTTCAAAATGTTAGCTTAGTAACACACAAACTTCGAATACCGGACTATCTCAGCTGATACAGTTTATGGGCTGTCAGCTGACGCCAATTTTAAATGTTTTGTTTACAAAACACCACCACTGGGAATTCCTGTCATTGCAATATTTTTTTTTTATATTTGTTTTATATTTCTGGTGTTGCTGTTAATGCCGCTCATAAAAATGTATTTTGCAATTTTCAGTGAACTTAATTTTACTTTCACTGTTACTAAGGCCACAAGTCCGTTTACCGCATATTGTAAAATAAAATTTATGACCTTATATGGTCGTAATTGAAAAAATATAAATTATTTTCTTTTCTTTTGTTTTCATTTTTTTTTTTTTTTTTTTTTGTTAATCAATTAAAATTAATAACTTACACAGCCAACAGGGTCACCTACTTTCGAATTGGATGGCACTGACTATTAAGGCAATAATAAAATATGATATGTATATAATACAAAAATCTCCCTTCATCTTCCGTGCACCTTGTGTGCAGATATGGACCTTACAAAATTAAAAATAAAAAAATTATAAAAGTTGAAAGTAAACCAGATATAAGGCTTCGATAATCTCCTGATAAATATTCATAGACCACACCTTAAAAGAGATCGACTACGCTAATGCCTATAAAACATAAAATGCCTAAAACATTTCTAAAATTTCCTTAAAATATTTTTTGCATTTTCTTAAAGAAATTTTCATAAAAATGTCAAAAAAATGTTTTTAAAGAGTATCACAAGCATTTTGTCAAATGACATCCAATGAAAGGGAATCCAAAAAAATGTCATGGAAATTCACCTATGTATATTCCACAAAAATTATTCTTAAAATAAACAAGCCTAATGCTGTGCTAATTTTTGAGAAAACTCCCTTCCAAGACTGTGCTAATTCCTCAAAAAATCTTTATAAAATAAAACACGACTAAGGCTGTGATAATGCCTGAAAAAATCTTCTAAGGCTCTGATAATTCCAGAAAAAAAAATCTTCTTAAAATTAAACACGCTTAAGATATGCTAATTTATCAAGAATATCTGCTTAAAATAAAATACGCTCAAACTTTGCCAATTTCTCAAAAAAATCTGCTTAAAATAAAACAAGTTAAAGCTGTGCTAATTTCTCATAAAAAAATCTTCTTAAAATAAACATTCTAAAGCTGCGCTAATTTCTCAAATTTCCTTCATAAAATAAAACACGCTAAAGGTGCGATAATTTCTCAAAAAAATCTTCATAAAATAAAATTTGGTAAGCTGTGCTAATTTCTCATAAAAATCTGCACAAAATAAAAAAGCACAAAATAATTTCTCAAAAAAAAATCTTCTTTAAATAAAACACGCTAATGATTTGCTAATTTCTCAAAAAAACATCTTTATAAAATAAAACACGCTAAAGCTGTGCTAATTCCACAAAAAAAATCTTCTTCAAATAAAACACGCTAAAGCTGTGCTAATTTCAAAAAACAAAATCTTCATAAAATAAACCATGACTTAGACTGTGATAATACATTAAAAAATCTTCTAATGCTGTGCTAATTTTTCAAAAAATATTAATAAAATAAAACACGCTAAAGCTGTGCTAATTTCTCAAAAAATCTTATTTGTTAAGGCTGTGCTAATTTCTCAAAAAATCTTCTTGAATTAAACACGCTAAAGCTGTGCTAATTCCTAGAAACATTTTCAATGACTGTGCTAATTTCTAAAAAAAAAATCATCTAAGGCTGTGATAATTCTTATGAAGAACCTTCTTAACATAAACCACGCCTGTGCTAATTCCACAAAGAATTATCCTAAATAAAACACGCCCATGAATGTGCTAATTTCTGAAAGAAAACTCTGTACTAATTTCTCAAAAAATATTTCTAAAATAAAGTAAGCCTAAAGCTGTGATGATTCCTGATCATTCCTGTGCTAATTTCTACAAAAGAATCTTCTTAACATAAAACACGACTGAGGCTGTTCTAGTTCTTAAAAAAAAATTCTTAAAATAAATCACCCTAATTTCAGAAAGAAAGAAAATATTTTTTTTTAAATAAAATAAACCACACCTAAGGCTGTGATAATACTTGGAAAAATTCTTCTAAAGCTGTGCTAATTCCTTAAAAAAATATTCATAAAATAAACCGCGCCTAAGGCTGAGATAATTCCTGAAAAAATCTTCTAAGACTTCTTCTAGGGCTATTTCCTCAAAAGATTATCTCAGCTTTATCCTGAGATAATTCCTGAAAAAATCTTCTAAGACTTCTTCTATGGCTAATTCCTGAAAAAAATCTTCATAAAATAAAACCACGTTTACGGCTGTGCTAATTCCTGAAAAAAAAACTTCTAAGACTGTGCTAAGTTATTTGCTGAGAAAAATATTTTAATGCTGTTATAACCTCCCAAAAAGAATCATTTTAAAACAGCTGTGCCCAAAATAGGTCCCATGGGCTGTCGGTGTGTGTCAAATTGCTCACACATACAATTATAAAAGAGAAAATTTTGAAAATAAAAATTATTTTCAAAACTGTCATTCATTCCTTTTTGTTTTTATACCAGGGCTGTCCACACTAATACATTGAAGTTTTGTGATTGTATATGTTTCAAATACAAAATTTTCAAAAGTTCTGTTTCTATGTCATATACTGGGAGAAATTTTGTTAAAATATTATTTTCAAATTTTAAGGAAGAAAAAAATTAATATTTAATGCAAATATGGTTGTTGATGATACATTTTCCCATATAAACATATATTTGTTTCTGTTTTGCCCTTCCGGCATAATATTGTTCACATATTTCGACCTGTTCCGAACTAATGTTTGCCAGAAATATCCCAATTTTTTCGGTTAGTGTATAAAAACAAAAAGGAATGAATGACAGTTTTGAAAATAATTTTTATTTTCAAAATTTTCTCTTTTATAATTGTATGTGTGAGCAATTTGACGCACACCGACAGCCCATGAGACCTATTTTGGGCACAGCTGTTTTATACACTAACCGAAAAAATTGGGATATTTCTGGCAAACATTAGTTCGGAACAGGTCGAAATATGTGAACAATATTATGCCGGAAGGGCAAAACAGAAACAAATATATGTTTATATGGGAAAATTTATCATCAACAACCCTATTTGCATTAAATATTAATTTTTTTCTACCTTAAAATTTGAAAATAATATTTTAACAAAATTTCTCCCAGTATATGACATAGAAACAGAACTTTTGAAAATTTTGTATTTGAAACATACAATCACAAAATTTCAATGTATTAGTGTGGACAGCCCTGTTTTAAAATAAACCAAGCCCAATACTGTGCTAATTCCACAAAAAAATCTTAAAATAAAACATGGCTAAAAATGTGCTTATTTCTGAAAAATAAATCTTCTATGGCTGTGCTAATTCCTCAAAAAAAGCTAAAAAAATCACTCACCCTAATGCTGTGCTAATTCTCCAAAATATGTTCTTAAAATTAGCCAAGCCTATGGTTATGCTAATTCATAAAAAAATCTTCTAAGGCTGTGCTAATTCCTAAAAAAAATCTTCATAAAATAAACCACGCCTAAGGCTGTGCTAATTCCTGAAAACAACTTCTAAGACTGTGCTAATGTATTTCCTGAGAAAAATCTTTTAAAGCTGTTATAACTCCCGAAAAGAATCATTTTAAAATAAGCCACAACCAAGACTGTGCTAATTCCACAAAAAAAAATCATAAAGTAAACTACGCCTAAGGCTGTGCTAAATCCAAAAAAGATCTTAAAGTAAAACATGCCTAAGGATGTTCTAATTTCGGAAAGAAAAATCTTAAAAGGCTGTGCTAAAAAAATCTTTCTAACAAAACCACTCGCCTAATGCTGTGCTAATTCCCCAAAATATCATCTTAAAATTAGCCAAGTCTATGGTTGTGCTAATTCCAGAAAAAAAGTCTTCTAACGCTGTGCTAATTCGTTAAGTTTGATAAATTGTTGAAATCAAAACAAAATCTCCATTAATCTTCCGTGGGCCTTAAGTAGATAAATGGGCCTTACAAAGTTCAGAATAAATTAACAAAAACTGTTTTTAATTTAATTATTTATTTTTCTTTTTTTGCAATAATACGCAGTTAGCCCTTGACGTCTTCAGTTTGCCATTTTACGTCGTGTAAAATCTCATTTAAAGATATTATCTGTCAGTCATCCCGCCATAATAGCATCCCGCATCCATTCACGGCGGTCCACTTGGTCGCTCGGTCGCCCAAACAAAATGAGTGAAGAAAATAATTTATTATAGGCGCATGTAAACTATAAAATATAAATGCACAATATAAATTGTATATATTAGGGTGGGCCGATGTTTTCTCAAGAATAATTTATAAACAAAAACAAGGATGATTTTCAAAAATCCTTGAAAGATATATGATCCAGTCCATTATACATATTATATGATATTTATAATTTTTAAAAATTTTTGTTATATGCATATTAGGGTGGATTGATGAAAATATATATCAACATATACGCTATAAAAATTACCTCAGGAAAAAATTAAAAAAAACAGGGCATGGAATTTGTTTCCTAAAAAATTATTCTCGGTTATAGGAACCACCCTATTATATACATTATTACATTGTAATATGATTATACCATGACACCTCAGTCTTCAGTTTTTTTTTTTGTATTTCGCAAACAGAAAACGAAAACAAAATAATTTTTTCTTTGTTTTTCGAAATGAAACACACACTCAATACAGTATACATATTATTAATTTTTAACTTTGTTGTTGTTGTTTTTTTTTTTTATTACAGCCTGGACGTGTTGCTACATTAGTGGAAGACAAAGAGGTAAGTACGGCTTTGAAAACTTGCAATTCAATTCAACTCTGTTCGTTTATATTTATATTTTTGAAGGTCTTTACATTGTTTGGGGAAGTGTAATTACAGTAGATGTTTTCCGGTTAGGCATCATGACCTGGATTTTTTTTATATCATTTTTTAATTATTCTTAATATACAGGGTGAGATAAAAAAAATGCAACCAAGTCAAACGCCACAATTTTTACATTTTTTCTTTAATTTTATTGAATGAAAGCAAAATATGTCGGAAATAGCATCAAATATTAGAATAATTTTAGATTTGTTCGAATTGGTACAAAATATGGCCTTCAAAACGGCCAATGAAACCGTCACACGTTGCCCGAATGTTGTTCTGCGGTATTTTGACCCATTCCCGGCGAAGCGCATGCTTGAAGTGATCGACAATTTGGTATTTTTTACTGCCAACCTTGCTTTCCAAAATACTTCAGACACAATAGTCCAACGGATTGGTATCCGGAGACTTTGGTGGCCATTGTGCACTGGAAATGAAGCGAGGAACCTCATTTTGCAGTCTGAAGTTGGTTGCAGTTTTTATAATTTCACCCTGTATTCTCAGGGTTACCTTTAATGCAAAATCCCCAAGATTTATTCGATTGAGGAGAAATTTTGCACAACGTCCCATAGTGAGCCCAGAATGAAGAGTATTGAGTTTTGTCCGAATCGGTTCAGATTTAGATATAGCTCCCATATATATATATATATATTTTCATCCGATTTCCTGTAAATTGTGCACCAAATGGTCATCGCTTAACCGATTGCGATGAAATTTTGTACAGGCTATCAAATTGAGCTTAGAATGAGGTGTATTACATTTAATTGAAATCGGTTCTCGAACTTGGATATAGCTCCCATATATATTTTCGTCCGATATCATCTAAATGGTACACCAAATACCCTAAGTTTGTTTGATTGCGACGAAATTTAGCATAGCGTAGCGAATTGAACATACCATGAAGTGGATTAAGTTTTGTTGAATTTGGTTCCGATTTAGGTATAGCTCCCATATATATTTTCGACCGATTTCAGGTAATTAGCGAAGCAAAAACCCCCATGTCTGTTCGATTGCTGCGAAATTTTGTAAATGGTGACGAATTGAACCAACAATGATGTATATTAAAATAATTGAAATCGGTTCGAATTTGGATATAGCTCCCACATATATATTTTCGATCGATTTCAGGTAAATGGTGCACTAACAAACTAACAAAGTTTGTTTAGTTGTGACGAAATTTTGCACAAGGTACCAAATTAAGCCTAGAATTACATGTGGTAAGTTTTATTGAAATCGGTTCAGATTTAGATATAGCTCCCACATATATATTTTCGTCCGATTTCAGATAAATTGTTTCACCCAAAGACCCTAAGTTTGTTCGATTGCAACTAAATTATGCACACACCGTCCCAAATTGAGTCTAAAATGACGCGTATAAAGTTTTATTGAAATCCGTATAGTATATCGGTCCATCCGTTTTGGGACCTCTTATAAGAGTACCTTCAAAATTTCGATATTTTTGCCGTGTGTTTCAAATAAACTTGGCTGTAATTTGGTATTATGTGTTCTTATTGGTAAGAAAATGTTCCAACCAATCAATTGTCAATATCGGTATTTTTTTAGGTTAGACCTACTATAGGAGAACCATCTAAATTCCCATATTTCGAGGATCTTAGCCACGTATTTCAACCGAATTGCTTGTAATTTGGTAGTTCGGGTACCCATTGCGTAGCAAATATACCTACCAAAAATTATTAAGATTGGCGCAAGTTTCAGGTGGTAGCACCCATGTAAGGTTAGCCCCTTCCGCGATTCGGTATTTTAGGTTTTTAGAGAATTTTTTCATTCGAATTGCTGGCTTATTTGGTGATTTAGGTTCTGATTTTGTAGCAAATAAACCTACCAAAAATGTTTAAGATTAACGCAAGTTTCAGGGTGGCCACCATGTAAGGGTACCCTCCGTGGTTCGATATTTCGGGATTTTAGAACACTTTTTTTAACCGAACTGCTTGTAATTTGATAATTTAGGTTCTCATTGCGTAACAAATGTACCTACCAAAAATTATTAAGATTGGCGCAAGTTTCAGGGTAGCTCCCATGTAAGGGTACCCTCCGTGATTCGATATTTTTTGGATATTAGAGCATTTTTTCAACGGAATTTGTTGTAATTTGATATTTTGGATTCTAATTAGTTAGCAAATCTACCTAACAAAAATTATTAAGATTGGCGCAAGTTTCAAGGTAGACCCCTTATAAAGGATATCCTACGTATATCGGTATTTTGGAGATTAAGGGCATTTTTTCAACCGAATTGGTTGTAATTTGGTATTTCGGGTTCTCATTGCGTAACAAACCTACCTACCAAAAATTACTATGATTGGCTCAAGTTTCAGGCGGGTAGCCCCCATGTAAGGGTACCCTCCGTGATTCGGTATTTCGGGATTTTAGAGCACTTTTTCTAACGGAATTCGTTGTAATTTGGTATTTCGGATTCTTATTGCGTAGCAAATCTATCTACCAAAAAATTTTAAGATTGGCGCAAGTTTCAGGGGGTAGCTCCATGTAAGGATACGCTCCGCGATTCGGTATTTCGAGATTTTGGAGCACTTATTTTGGGGATTTTGAGCACTTTTTTCAACGGAAATGGTTGTAATTCGGTATTTCGGATTCTCATTGCGTAGAAAATCTACCTACCAAATATTATTAAGATTGGCGCAAGTTTCAAGGTAGACCCCATATAAGGGTAGCCTACGTATTTCGATATTTTGGGGATTTAGGACAAATTTTTCAACGGAATTGGTTGTAATTTAATATTTCGAATTTCCTTGCGTAGCAAATCTACCTACCAAAAATTATTAAGATTGGTCCACTTTTCATGGTAGCCCCTATATAAAAATACCTTCCGATATTCGATATTTTATGGATTTTTGGTGCCTCTTTTCAACCGAACTTCGCCTAATTTCATATTTTGTGGATTATCATTGGGTGTCAAACCTTCCTAACAAAAATAGGTCTGCTAGTCTTTAAAATAAATTATTAATGATTAAACATGTGAAGGGTTATTTTATTTTCACTTCTTTGTTTAAACAAAACCAAGTGCTTCACATAAAATTAAAGATTATTTTATACAATTATTATTATTGTACTATTTTATATAAAATACAAAAAGACTGCGGGTATTTTTTTGGTTTGAGAGTCCGAACTTTTCAAAGTAAGCCCCTTTGAGTGTTGCCATCGCATGTGTGTGCGATACACACACACAACAACAACTTGTCAATAACTCAACTTTACTGGCACATTTTCACAGACACCGAAACCCTATATATTATTTCGTTCCGCGAGGAACTCTTAATTGAGAATCGGTGGATTTCCGCGAAATATAGGCAAACGCCGCGAGATAACGAGACAGCGCTTTTTACTACGCCTTTCTACTTTCTAAACTAGACCAGGGGACTTTCCCCAGAGCACTGCGCTGGAAAGAAGACCAATACAGTACTTACTTTCCCGCCGAAGAGTTACCAAGAACTCGTATGTGGCTCCGAGTGACAAGCATGAAATGTTCAAACAAACAAACCAACATGCCCACCCGTTTGCTGTTCTAGCGAAGTATATATACAAAGCGCATTAAAAAAATGTATATGAGAATTATGAGCTAGATGGTGGGGTAGGGCATTAAATGTGAGAGGCAATGAAAACTGTAGCATAGTTTAAGGCGTTGTAATAAAAAAACTTAACAATGGTGGGTTGAAAATAAAAAAAAAATATTTCTAAAAATAAATTTTCACCATGGCCCATAAGAAAATAAAGCGGAAATTCTAAAATCTTTTTTTGGTATATACAGTGGTGGTCACAGAATTAAAACATTTACTGTGGTAAAAATTTTTTGATCAGCCCTCGAATCGTTTGAAGTATTTTTGAAATTTTTTTAATTCAGAACACTTCGATATACTGTACTTAAGAGATTTAGTGTGAAAATGGAAAATTATTGCATGCAATTTTTCCATAAATAACGGTTTTTATGAAAATACATCGACTTTGAAGTGGCCATATAATTAAAACATTGTGTGATTTTTTACTTTACTGTATTTTTTGAAAATATTTTTAAAAAAGCTTTTTAATTTAGTTAAATTATGTAAACTAAGCATCGATAAAGTCATTTACTGATAAAAATTTTTGAAAAAATCTGTAAAATCTATCAAAATCGCCAAAAATTTGTACAGTACATCTTACATTCAGAAAATAACCCTTATTATAGAAAATAAAGTTCCGAATGCACCAGAAATTGCTAGAATTAGTAGAAAACTATAAATAATTCTCAGAATAAATAAATATTTGAAATAAAAACTGAAAAATGGGAATTAACCAAAAAGAACGACTCAATTTCGATAGCCTTTATTGAAGAACGCAGGAATATTTTTGCAGTATATGAGGAAATATCGATTGATATTGGCATTTATTATACCAAATCGATTGTTCGAGTAGTACAGAATATATTTTATCAAAAAATATACAAGTCACAACAGAAAGAACAGAGATCAACGCCTATGTTGACGAATAAAAGTTTCTGCCACACAGCACAATTTTTGATGCTCAACACAAGACTTTAAATATTTGTCAAATTGTAATTTTTTTCTTTCTTTTGGGCTAAAATAGATTAAATGGGCATTATTCTATTCAAAAAATATTATTTTGGAAAAATATTGCCATGTTCAATAGATTTTAAGGGTCAAGAGTTAACCATCAAACATGCTGCTGTGTACCAGAAACGTTTCCTCGTCAACATAGGTGTTGATCTCTGTTCGTTCTGGTGAGACTGATATATTTTTTGATAAAATATATTCTGTACTACTCGAACAATCGATTTGGTATAATAAATGCCAATATCAATCGATATTTCCTCACATACTGCAAAAATATTCCGGCCTTCTTCAATAAAGGCTATCGAAATTGAGTCGTTCTTTTAGGTTAATTCCTATTTTTTCAGTTTTTATTTCAAATATTTATTTATTTTGAGAATTATTTACTGTTTTCTACTAATTCTAGCAATTTTTTGTGCATTCGGACCTTTATTTTCTATAATAAGGGTTATTTTCTGAATGTAAGGTGTTCTGTACAAATTATTGGCAATTTTGATAGATTTTACATTTTTTTTTTAAAAATTTTTATCGTAAATGATTTTATTGGTGCTTATTTTACGTAATTTAACTAAATTAAAGAGCTTTTTTAAAAATATTTTCAAAAAATGTACTAAAGTAAAAAATTACACAATGTTTTAATTATATGGCCACTTCAAAGTCGACGTATTTTCATAAAAACCGTTATTTATGGAAAAATTGCATGCAATAATTTTCCATTTTCACACTAAATCTCTTAAGTACAGTATATCGAAGTGTTCTGAATTAAAAAAATTCAAAAATACTTCAAACGAATCGAGGGCTGATCAAAAAATGTTTACCACAGTAAATGTTTTAATTCTGTGACCACCACTGTATGTTTTTAAAGAAATTAAATTTTTTAATATTTTTTTTTTATTTTTAATAATATTTTTTTAATGTTTATTAATTTTTTTTTATTTTGCAGGGTATCACATGGGGCTGTGCTTATAGAATATGTGGACAAACGGCCCTGGATTATTTAAAGCAACGAGAATGTACATTAGGTAAGTAAAGACTCGCCACATAATATTTTTTAAAAACATTTTTGAAGGACTAGCCCAAGTCGTGAATTTTAAAAAATATTTAAATATTTTTTTAAGGAGTGGATTTTTTAAAAAAATATTTTTTCAAGGCGTGGATTTTTTAAAAATATTTTTTTCTGGGTAAAGTTTAAGTTGTGGATTTTTTTAAAATAATTTTAAAAATATTTTTTCAAGGCGTGGATTTTTTAAAAATATTTTTTTCAAGGCGTGGATTTTTTAAAAATATTTTTTCAAGGCGTGGATTTTTTAAACATATTTTTTCAAGGCGTGGATTTTTTAAAAATATTTTTTCAAGGCGTGGATTTTTTAAAAATATTTTTTCAAGGAGTGGATTTTTTAAAAATATTTTTTCAAGGCGTGGATTTTTTAAAAATATTTTTTCAAGGCGTGGATTTTTTAAAAATATTTTTTCAAGGCGTGGATTTTTTAAAAATATTTTTTCAAGGCGTGGATTTTTGAAAAATATTTTTTCGAGGCGTGGATTTTTTAAAAATATTTTTTCAAGGCGTGGATTTTTTAAAAATATTTTTTCAAGGCGTGGATTTTTTAAAAATATTTTTTCAAGACGTGGATTTTTTAAAAATATTTTTTCAAGGCGTGGATTTTTTAAAAATATTTTTTCAAGGCGTGGATTTTTCAAAAATATTTTTTCAAGGCGTGGATTTTTTAAAAATATTTTTTCAAGGCGTGGATTTTTTAAAAATATTTTTTCAAGGCGTGGATTTTTTAAAAATATTTTTTCAATGCGTGGATTTTTTAAAAATATTTTTTCAAGGGTTGGATTTAAAAAAATCCTTTTCAAGGCATGGATTTAAAAAAAATGCCTTTTCAAGGCATGGATTTAAAAAAATGCCTTTTCAAGGCATGGATTTAAAAAAATGCCTTTTCAAGGCATGGATTTAAAAAAAAAATATTTTTTCAAGGCGTGGATTTTTTAAAAATATTTTTTCAAGGCGTGGATTTTTTAAAAATATTTTTTCAAGGCGTGGATTTTTTAAAAATATTTTTTCAAGGCGTGGATTTTTTAAAAATATTTTTTCAAGGCGTGGATTTTTTAAAAATATTTTTTCAAGGCGTGGATTTTTTAAAAATATTTTTTCAAGGCGTGGATTTTTTAAAAATATTTTTTCAAGGCGTGGATTTTTTAAAAATATTTTTTCAAGGCGTGGATTTTTTAAAAATATTTTTTCAAGGTTTTTTAAAAAAAAAAATTTAAGTTGTGATTTTTTTTAAATATTTTTTTAAGTTGTGGATTTTTTTAAAAATAATTTTTCAAGGCGTGGATTGTTAAAAAATATTTTTTCAAGGCGTGGTTTGTTAAAAAATATTTTTTCAAGGCGTGGTTTGTTAAAAAATATTTTTTCAAGGCGTGGATTGTTAAAAAATATTTTTTCAAGGCTTGGATTGTTAAAAAATATTTTTTTGAAGGCGTGGATTTAAAAAAATATTATTTTTTGAAGGCGTGGATTTAAAAAAAATATTTTTTGAAGGCGTGGATTTTTAAAAAAATGTTTTTTGAAGGCGTGGATTTAAAAAAAATATTTTTTTGAAGGCAAGGCGTGGATTTTTTAAAAATATTTTTTCAAGGAGTGGATTTTTTAAAAATATTTTTTCAAGGCGTGGATTTTTTAAAAAGATTTTTTAAGGCGTGGATTTTTTAAAAATGGTTTTCTAAGTTGTGTTTTTTTTAAAAATAATTTTTTAAGTTGTGGATTTTTTTAAAAATAATTTTTTAAGTTGTGGATTTTCTTAAAAATAATTTTTTTAAGTTGTGGATCTTTTTAAAAATAATTTTTCAAGGCGTGGATTGTTAAAAAATATTTTTCTTTTTTGAAGGCATGGATTAAAAAAATATTTTTTGAAGGCGTGGATTTAAAAAAAATATATTTTTTCAAGGCATGGATTGTTAAAAAATATTTTTTTGAAGGCATGGATTAAAAAAAATATATTTTTTCAAAGCGTGGATTTTTTAAAAAAATATTTTTTCAAGACGTGGATTTAAAAAAATAGTTTTCAAGTAGTGGATTAAAAAAAAAATTGTTTTCAAGTAGTGGATTTAAAAAAATATTTTTAAGGCGTGCATTTTTTAAAAGAATATTTTTTAAGGCGTGGATTTTTTAAAAGAATATTTTTTAAGGCGCGGTTTCTTTAAAAGAATATTTTTTAAGGCGTGGATTAAAAAAAATATTTTTTAATGCGTGGATTAAAAAAAATATTTTTTAATGCGCGGTTTTTTTCAAAAGATATTTTTAAGGCGTGGGTTTTTTCAAAAGATATTTTTTAAGGCGCGGTTTTTTTCAAAAGATATTTTTAAGGCGTGGATTTTTAAAAAAAATATATTTTTTAAGGCGTGGGTTTTTTCTAAAGATATTTTTTAAGGCGTGGATTTAAAAAAAATATTTTTTAAGGCGTGGATTTAAAAAAAATATTTTTTAAGGCGTAGATTTAAAAAAAATATTTTTTAAGGCGTGGATTTTTTAAAAAAAATAAATTTTAAACAAATTTTAAGCTTGAATTCATGACATTTTATTTATTATATAATTTTTCTTCCTCTTCTTCCAGGTGGTTATACAACAGTCGATACCAAATTCTATCCCCGCGTTGCATCCTATGATGCTGCCTTTGGTGGTGAAGCTCTGCCCGTTCTAGTCTATGTCGCCAATAAGGACAGTGAACATTGGCTAGGTGAAGATCGACTGGAAAATGTTGCCAAACAAATTGTTGAATGTGAAGGACCCAGTGGCCATAATGCCGAATATCTGCTAAGGCTTGCAACATTTATGCATGAGGAAATTCCCGAAATATGGGATGAGCATTTATTTCAATTGGAATCGCTGGTCCTTGGTGAGCTGCGTAAACGCAACATCCCCCTGTGGTCGGTTATGGGTAGAAATCGTGATCGTATCCGTCGTGATTCACATGAGGAGATACGACGGCCGCCTAGTTTTGAATTTACATCACGGGTACCGGAACGTAAGCTGCGTTGTTTGAATATTTAGGAGAAGAAAAAAAATGGCAAGAAAAATGCATATGGAGAGATCAGAGAATATTAAGACGGCACATTTGAAATTGAAAATGGAAACTGAAAAAAATATCGCTGGACAAGGCATGCAGAGGTTATTTTCCGCATAGTATTACTATCCTAGCAGAGGCTGAAATAATTTCAAATGCTTACGATATTTTTTTAAATAATAGTTGATGCCTGGTAGCATTGCATACATACACACATATGTGCTAAAAATTAAAAAAAAAAGTATATAAAAATATATTATATTAAAAATTTTGAAACAAACTGTTTCACAAACATTTTGCATAATAGAAATTTATTTGTATAATATTTAATTAAAAAATAATTAACAAGACAGCGATTAATAACTAAACAAAAATTATTAAGAAACCCCAACAAAAATGCTTTATTATATTATAAGATAGACTAACAGAAATTAAGAAAAAAAAACGCAACAACAATCCAAAAATATATTTTTTATATAATATTGATAAATTTTTATAGAATAATTTTTTATATAAAACAACATTACACAATAAAATTATAACCTCAAAATGAAATACTGAAATACTAAAAGAAAATTGTTATTATTTAAAGATGAAAAAAATTAATTAAGAATTTTTGTACAACAAAATAGATAACTATTGTAAAAATTAAATAAAAAAACTATAACAATAAACAAAATTATAAAAAAAAGAAAAAAAAATTGAGTTTGCCTTGGCTGGGATTTGAACCTGGACTTCCAGGGTGATGTTATTGGAATGGAAAATAAATACATTAATTTGTAAAAAAAAACTGACAATATGTCAAATGAACAATAAAAAAATAAATATTGTAAAATATTTAATAGACGAATATAAAGAAAATTATTTTAATTTGCCGTCGCTGGGATTTGAACCTGGACTGCCTCTGCCAAAGGGGATTTTTCTTATTTAAAGGAATGTACGGTTATATATTTTTTAAAGAATATTTTTTTCAAAGACTAACAGAGCAATCAATAGAAGTGGATTTTTCAAATAATATTATCTTTAAGGACTAGCTGACCACTAGGCGTGGCTTTTTTAAAGACTATTTTCTTCAAGGCAGCGTAGGGGATGATAGATACCAAGCAACGGCTCTGATTGGCTTTAAAATGGCGAAGTGCAGGCTTATCTTGGTCCCTCTTTCATCTCAATTGTAGAAACTGAATTCCCCGTGGTGCCACCTGGGGTAGTTATTTTCATCACCCGATGAAATAGTGAGCTAATAATATGTGCCGCGAGTTCACCCGTAAGAACTATAAAAAGATGGGTTGAGGCGTCGGTTTAGTTGCCCGCACTCGGAGAACCTACTATGAAGAAGCAAAGAAAACCAAACCCACCTAATGATGACAACCCCCGCAAACGTATAAAGGACCACGATCTGCGAATCTGCACTTGGAATGTGTGCACGTTGTACAGAACAGGCGCAGTATTCGCTTTGGCGGATATACTCAAGATGTTCAAAGCCGATATTATTGCTTTACAGAAAATGTGGTGGAAAGGGGCTGCCGTAAGTAATCAGAAGATTACCCCCTGTACTATAGCTGCCATGAAACGAGACATGAATTTGGCTGCGGATTTATGTTTAACAGGAGAATAAAAAACCTCGTCTCCAGATTCACTCCAGTAGAGCGCCTAGAAACAGCATATGACCGTAGCCCTGGCCATGATATTAAAATTCTGCTAGGAGATTTTAATGCAAAAATCGGAAGTGAAAATATCTTTGGCCCACCGTCGGAAAATTCAGCCTCCATGAAGAAACATCCGACAACGGCATGAGGTTGATTAACTTCACGGCAGCAAAAAACATGGTATTTAGCAGCGCCAGATTCAAGCATCTCGATATACACAAGGCCACTTGGATTTCTCCCGATCGAACAACGAGAAATAAAATCGATCATGCTGTGGTAGACGGAAGTTAATAGTCCAGTAACACGGAAATTTGATAGCAGAAGTCTACTCCGCTCAACTTACCCAACAGCTTGACGAAAGCACCCCTTGTCCCGATAATAATATAGAAGCAGAGTGGCAGAGAATAGCCCACTCTCTACAAACGGCAGCAAAATAAATCCGTTGCACGATCAGGAGTGTCGTAATGCTACTGGTATGAAAAGCGCAGCGTATAGGGCAACCCTGCGGACAGTAGCAACACGTAATGCGATGGAGAACTATCGGTAGAAAAGGAGAGAGGAGAAACGTATTTTCATAAAAAAGAAGAAATAACAAGAAAAACTTGAGCGTGAGCAAATCGAGATGTACAGGAGTCAGAATGAAGTCCTAAAATTCTACCAACGGGTAAAACACCAAACCGAAGGCTTTGGTGCAGGCACAACCGCAGACAGCGTGCTGAGGATCTGGAAGGAACATTTTGAAAAACTTCTGGTATCAAATAGTAGCGGTGAAGAGGAACCAACCAACCAACCCTGAACCAATAATAGATAACGGTATAGATTGTATACCACCGGGCCAAGATGAAGTCAGAATAGCAATCAATCGGCTGAAGAATCAAAAAGGAGCGGGTGCCGATGGGTTACAAGACTGGTGGTCAGATGCTGGTAAGGAGCATGCATCAGCTGATTGGTACAATTTGGCTAGGGGAATGCATGTCCAATGATTGGAACCTCAGCATCCTGTGTCCCGTGCACAAAAAAGGAGACAAGGCGATATGTGCCAACTATAGTCTCCTTCCCATCGCATATAAAGTGTTATCCAGCGTACTGTATGAACGACTGATGCCAATGGTCAATGACATTATTGGACCATACCAATGCAGCTTCAGACCTGGCAAATCCACCATTGACCAGATTTTCACTCTGCGCCAAATCCTGGAAAAACACATCGACACATTCCACCTATCCGCATTTGACGCATTATATAGATCTGAAGCATGGGTACTTATCAAGCAGATGAGGCAGCTCTTGGAGTGTTTGAGAGAAAAATTCTCCGAAAGATCTATGAGTCGATCTGCGTTGACGGTGAATATTGCCGTCGAATGAACCATGAGTTCTATCAGCTATTCTCGGATATTGACATTGTTAGACGTATTGAGCTGTAGCGACTACGTTGGCTAGGTCATGTTGTAAGAATGGATGAAGATGCCCCAGCCCAGAAGGCATATAAAAGCGAACCAGCTGATGGTTCACGCGGACGAGGAATAAGATGGAAAGATCAAGTGGAAGACAACATTGCCGAATATGGACTTTCAAATTGGAAAAACTGCACAAAAGACCGATGCGCCTGGAAATCTTTTTTAAGCTCGGCTTATGGTTCTGTCACAAGCCAGCTAAGTAAGTAAGAAATATTATTTTAAGGCGCGGAAATATTTTTTCAAGGCGTGCATTTTTTTTAATATTTTTTAAGGCGTGAACAATTTTTTAATGACGAGGAAATATTTTTTCAGTGTAGATTTTTTATGGCCTTGATTTTAAATGATAAAGTTTTCAAGATGTGGATTAAAAAAAAAATGTCTTTCATTGCATGGATTTTTTTAATTTTGAAGGATTTTTAATAAAACATATATTTTTAAATGTGAATTTCAAAAATATTTGTCAGAGCGGTTAATTAAAAAATATATATTGTTACGAATATAAATTTAGATTTAAGTTACTTTAGATGAATTCCGTTAATTTAAGAATTTGAATTGTAACGTAAATTTCTACTACGCAGTTTATTTGAATAACTTCACAACAACAACTACTGTATAGATTTTTCTACATCCTTCCATTTCCTCTTTCATTGTCTATTTTTTTGTCGACGTACAATTCTTGTTAAACGTCATCATTGATGATCGCTTAATTCCTCTTTCTTTGTTACCCCCTCACCTGTATATGTGTTGTTGTTTACTCAATGTAAGTTTGTATGTGTTGTTGTTATTGTTTGCTCAATGTAAGTTTGTATGTGTTGCTGTTATTGTTTACTCAATGTAAGTTTGTATGTGTGTTTGTTGCATTGGTAGATTGTTCGTGATCTAAGTGTTACCAGATCGTCTGGAAACTTCTGTAGCTACAAGCAACGCTCATATAAATAGGGGAAATGGAAAGGCAGTGAGTCAGTTGTGAATCAGATCGCGAATTGAAACCGTCGAGTAAAGTGCAAAGTAAAGTTGTGTGAATAAAATCATTGTAATAATCGTAATCCGAAAGAACCTGCGTTTTATTTGGTACGAATTGTATCGGGAAATAAAACAACGTCTACACGGGATTTAGTAAAACCCAAGAACGTAACAATATTTTATGGGTCATAGGCCTAAGCATAATCGAGGATTTTTAAGGAATGGCCTTCTGCATTGACTTTTCAAAGACTAGCCATAGGCGTAGATTTTTTTTATATTTTTTTCCAAATTGTTTAATGTTAACATTTAAGGAATATATTTTTTCAAATACTAAGACAAAAGACTGACAAAAGAATTAAAAAATATTTGTATATATAAACATTGAAAAAATTAAAAAAAAATTGTGCACTTTGCCCCCACTAGGATTCGAACCCGGACTCCACGGCGATTGATGTGAATACCTGATTAACAGGTTAAAACTATAGAAAAATTTTGGAATTTTAAATAATGAGAGAGTTTGTTGTAGTTTATGTGTAGCATAATAATAAATTATTTAAATAATAAAAATATATTTTTGAATTTATATGTCATTGTGGTTAATTTAAATTCATTTTCAATTTCATATTAACTTATAATTTAGAATACACATTCAAAAGATGTAAACGTTCATCCTAAAAGTATGCTCTAAATGTTGTGTTATTTCACATATTGAGACATCTCAATTGTGGCATTTGGGTAGAAATCTCACGTTAAATGGTAAAGATCCGATATTTTGTCTTGATCTATTGTTTATTTGCCTTTCAATTGAATTCGAAAAACTTTTTTCATTTGATTAGAAATTTTATTTTACAAATAAAATTATTAAAAAAAAAAAAATAAAAATGAATCTTATTTCTCTACGTGTTTGTTTTCTTTTTTTACTGACAACTATACTTAGGATAAGAAAGTAGCACATGGGTAAATGTATGTGTAGCAGCAAATGAATCCAAAACGGTGAATGTGTATGGAGAAATCAAATTCAATATTTATAAAGATTTAAAAACCAAATTTCAAAGTTTCTTTATAAATATTGAAATTTAATAGAACATTCAAAATTTTGGTATATGGTGCATAAACTGTGCATGAGAAAATCTTTATTTCCCCAATTACTAGTTGGTTAGAATTTCAGCAGCACGTGTTTCCATGAGTTTTTCCATTGATGTAATACTTGTCATCCAGTGATCCAAGGTTGTTGCCATACTGGCGATTTGTTTGCGATCCAAGACACGAGGAAGGACCTGAAGCGTGATATAGAGGAGAGAAATGAATTAAAAATTTGCTATAAGATAGTCGAAGAATAAATTTAAAATTTATAAGACCTTGTGGCTTCCTGTCTCATTTATGAAAATACCTTATGGTATTCTATCATTAGACTAATATGACCTTATAACTTAAATGAGTACTTTACTGTGATCTATAAGATGTCCGTATGGTATTTTATGAGAAGATTTTAATGCCTATTATGGTAAAAGAGTGAACATCTATCTATGAGACGGTCTCCTTGTCTTACATGAGAAGTCATTTTGGTCCTCAATAGGAAAACATTTTGGACTTTTATATGAAGATCTTTTGAACATTCAAAATAAGACTTTGTGGTCATCTATGAGATCTTTTGACATTCTATTAGAATACCATTTAGGTTAGGTTAGGGGATGTGCAGTCACTTATGTGGCTGCAGCACTCTGAGACCGTTAGGTCCGTTGTGATCATCCACGAGAAGAAAGAAGAAGCTAAGACTCGGTAGAAAATGCACCCACTAGCACTCACTAGTCTGTACCGCCTGTAAGCTAGGGCTGGACAGTGACGCAGAAGATGCTCAATTGTTTCCGTCACCTCCTCGTCAACGCAGAGTCTACAGTAATCAATTGCATCAAGATCCCATTTACTAGTAAAGGGCCTGATATTGCAGTGATCAGTAATGATTCCTGTCATTACTCTTATTTCAGCTTTGCTCAGGATCTTGACACGTTGGACCTAGGTTCGTCGTGCCAAAGTTCATAGGCTCTTTCGTCGAAGAACGAATCAAAGTTCCGGTAAAGATGACATATGGGTGGTTTGATTGAGTCATCAATTGCTAGATCTGTGGATTGAGATCCTCGTCTAGCTAGTTCGTCCTCTTTCTTAAGGACGGTCTCAGATTTGATATAACAAGATTTGATGGCTTTAAGAGCCGCTTGACTATCCACGAAGATAGTCACCGGTTCAACGACCTAAGCATCCAGACTTTTTATCAATTCCGCTGCCTTCCAAATCGCGAAGATTTCAGCTGGAAAATACTATAGTTTCAATCCAGCTTGTAGGTTAACTCAAGGCCTAGCCTTTCACAGTAGACGCCCACCCTTGTACTTCTTCCATCTTGAATCCATCTGTTAGAAGGCCACACCGTCCAGAGGAGGGTTACTCCGGTTGCAGTCGTCTCTACTACGAATAACGACATCTACCTCCTCAAATCTCAGGACTGGTGATATATAGTCGCTTAGTTTTACGCGTTGGTCCAATGCCTTACCTGGCTCGTTCAAGATACGACCATGCCTAAAGGTACAACTTCGCCATAGGTTTTGTTCATGCAGCCTTAGGGCGCTACGCGCGGCCTGACTCTTAATACTGAGGCGCAGGGGCCTAAAATTCAGAAGACCATTTGGTAATCTATAAGAAGTGCTTGTGGTCTTCTATGAAAATACCTTATGATGTACTATGAAAAGACAATAAGTTTTCCAAAAAAAGACCCTCTGGGTTTCCAAAAGAAGACCTTTTGATCTTCCAAAAGAATACCTTTTTGTCTTCCAAAATAAAACCATGCGGTTTTCAAAAAGAAGACCTTCTGATCTTCCAGATCTTTTTGTGTTAATTTTACTTGTACATACCCATGACATATTCACCACACCGGCAACTTGATCAATTTCACCTTTAACCAAATCCAAGGCCAGCGCCTTCATAATCAACAATTCAACTTCTTTCAAAGGCAGTTGGGTTTCTTCGGCAATATCTTCAAATGTAATGGAACGTTGTGTGGCCGAACGTTTAAATGTCATTTCCATTAAGCAGAGTAGAGAGATTTTTTGACGCAATTTTATTTCATGGGCAAGCAGATCGGGTATTTTCGACCAAGTGGGTTTCATTTCATTGAATCTAAAAAACACAATAAAAAGAGATATTGAAATCCTACTCATCAAAAAATTATTTAACGTTATGCACACTTTTTAATATCACCCGTGTTAAATGCATTCAGTAATTCGACCAACCATTCATTTTCGGTACCCTTTAAGGCAGTTAAAATTGGATGGGCCAGCTGCAAGAAAAATGGAATTTATGAATATTTCTTTTATAATTTATATTTATTTTATTATTCTTACCAATTCACCAATATTGTAGATACCCTCGCCGAGAAGGGCAGCCAAACCCAAACAGAATGCCTGTTGGGCCCATTGATCTTTGGGATAATTATCAATGGAACAACCCAAAAACTGTAGACCACAACGATAATAATCACTGTGTTTACCCACACGACGGTAGTAATCCGAGGCCAACATATAATATTTGCCATGAACTGGTGTTACATTACCCACATCTTCCAAGGTGTCACGTAATTCTTCAATAATCTTCTTGCAGGCATCCAAATCGTTGAGTTGCGACAAATAGATGTTACCTTGTATGACCTAGAAGACACAAACAATGGTAATAAACAAATTTCTTAAATGATTCGTGTTCCTCTATAAGACCATCTGTTCTTTTATATAAAGACGTTCTGGTCTTATAAAGGTCTTATATAAGATGACTTTCCGATTTTATATGATAACGTTTAAAAAGAACTTTTGGATTTCCGATTTACAATAAAAATATATATTGGTCTTCTATACGGGGACCTTCTGGTCTTATATTAGAGGTCATTTTGGTCCTTCTGATGTTCTATAAAAAGACCTTACTGTTTTCTATAAGAATACCTTCTGTTCTTCTATATGACAACCTTCTGTTTATGTATAACTTTCTGGTCATCAATAAGAAGTTTTTCAGGAAATATATAAAACCTTCTGTTCTTCCATAAGAGTACCATCTTTTTGAAGACTAGAAGGTCTTCCACACGAAGACCATTTGGGCTTCAATATGGAGGCCTTCTGGTCTTCAAAAAGCCTCCGGGCTTATATATCCTTCATAAAAATACCTTCTGGACCTTATGGTCTTCCATAAGAGGTCATTCTGGTCTTCAATAAGTAGACCTTCTGATCTTCACTATAGAGACTTTCTGTCCACACTTACCTGAGTATACCAAACAGCTTCATCACAAATCTTAACCTTATCCTTGATTTTATTTAAAAATTCAATTGCCTCCTTTTTGTCGGTGATGTGGTCAACAATTACTTCGACAATTTCCACCAGACCATAGGGATTGATTCTTTAGGGTAAAAAATAACACAACGAATTAAATTGAAACTCTAACCTAGCTTTAAATTACTACAACTCTTTGTACTTACTTCATTTCAAATGTCTGTAGGAAATTTTGATACAACTGCAATAGGGCATCTTCATCCTGCATTGAGGCATGACGGACAAATTTATTCAATTTAATTGTCAATTCATTCCACAATCTGTAAATAAGAAAATATCAGCAATCGCTTGTAAATCGAGTAGGCAACAACAATTATAACTCACTTCTCATTGTACAAATCTTCCAAAGTGGCCCATTCGGCAGCCAATTCTTTATTTGTGGTTTTCTTTTGATTAGCCAAGTAGCCAGCTACATTAACTGTGGGTTGTGCCATGTTTTCTCTATATTTTTCTTTGTTTTTGGTTTCTTCTTTTTAATTATAAGCAAAAATTAAATAAATTATTTCTAAACTTTCAACACAGTCTTCTTCTCCGGTCTGAATGAAATTTTTGCAAATCACAATTCACCGACGCCTGTCAAAATTTGACAAACCATAGCGTTTCATAGCAATGAACTTTTGTATAGATATACCAAAGTGGTGCCACTTATAGGGGAAATGGGAGAAACAGCTGATTGTGTGTAGCACAATTAAAACGGCTGACGACAAATATGAATACATTTGTTTATTCCAGAGCTCCGAAATGCTCGCTCGAATTCGAGTAAAGAGTGAAACTCGCTCGAATTCGAGCGGGAGTACTCTTGCGAGTAGAAAAAGTAAATAGAGTATACTCTATTTTTCTCTGCCACTCAAATAAGAGCGCAAGTGCTACGCTCGTTTTCGAGTGGGAGTGAAATCGAAATCGAGCAGATTACACTCTTGCCGAGTACTCTTTTATTTTTATTTATGTTTTTGTTGTGATACCGTTGTTTTACTTGATGTTGTTTGTGTGCATTGTTTGTTTTGTGATGTTTGGTTTGCTGTACTGCTGCGAAAGCATGCATCAACAAGCTCGTTCTCTGCGTTCACTTTATGTAAGTCTGAAATAGTGACAGCAAGACGAACCAGCCTCCAAATTGAAACCCTCGACAATATTTTGATACTAAAATTAAATAATGAACCACTTATGCATTCATGGGGTTTCTTTCAAACCAGCGCTTTTAATATTTTTGGAGAATACTTTTCCACATTTTTTAATGAATACCATTTTAAAAATTTGTATGGAGGTGTTTATGCTTTTAAAAAAATATTGAATTAATTAAATCACACGGTTGAATTCATTTTATAAATTGAAATAAAAAACATATAAAAATCTTATATGGTATAAGATTTTTATTTGTATTTCACATTTTCAGTAAACAAAATAATCGATCTTCCCACAGCACACAAAAGATCAACATCAAAAAATGTTTGCTACTACACACACACAAATAACCAAACAACCAAATTTATTTGTCCACTCGATTTCATTCTTAGAGTGAACTCATACTCTATTTCGAACATTTTGACTCACACTCTTTTTCTTCATCAAGGAGTACTCGCGAGCACTCCCAAACAAAATAAAAGAGTGGAGAGTATACTCCCTAAAAAACTCGTACTCTCTACTTACTCCCACTCGGGAGTATTTTTCACTCGCGAGTAAAATCGGTTTATTCTACTTGTTATACCAGTTATTTGTTTTAATTTCTTGATTATCTTTATTTAATTATTAATTATTAAGTGTTTCACTACAATTATCAGAATAATATTAAGTGTTGTTGTTTCTTAAGTTTAGTTATTAAAATTATAATTATTATAATAACGTTGATTGTTGATTGTTGAATGTTGTTGTTATTGTTGTTGTTGCTGCTCAAGTTCCTTCACTTGTTGGTGCTGCTTGTTTTAAGTTTGAGTTTCGATGGAAGACTGCCGAGTCTTAGTTTTGTCTTTCATTTCATGGTGGTGCTTTTTCAAAATGTGTCGACGATGCATTTACAGTCTATTGTGAGAAAATGCTAACCAAGCATTTCTCAGCGACGAATGTTTATTTCGGTAACTTACCCTCCAACAATAACGATTCGTCGGAGACCCCATAAAGTTTATACATATATTCATGATCAGAATGACATTCTGAAAAAAGGTACAGGGGCTGGCGTCTATTGTGAAAGGCTAAGCTTTGAGTTTACCTACAAGCTGGATTGCAAGTGTAGTGTTTTCCAAGCTAAAATCTTCACGATTTTGAAGGCAGCGAAAATGATAAAAAGTCAGGATGCAGAGATCATTTAACCGGTGACTATCTTCGTGGATATTCAAGCGGCTCTTAATGCCACCAAATCTTTTTATATCAAATCTGAGGCCGTCCTCAAGTGTAGAACAGCTTTGACAGGAATTATTACTGGTCATTGCAATATCAGGGCCTTTACTAGTAAATGGGATCATGATGCAATTGATTACTGTAGACTCTGCTTTGACGAGGAGGAGACAATTGGGCATCTCATGTGTCGCTGCCCAGTCCTGGCCCACAGACGGTATAGACTAGTTGGTGCTCACTTTCCACCGATTCTTAGTTTTTTCTCAACAACTGAATCTGCTCTAATCTACAGCATAATTAGAAACCTAAAGTGGTTGGGAAAGTGCAACCTTGACACGTAATATATCTTTTGTCCGATCTCTATAGCCATATTCGGTAACAATTGTTACTAAATGCTGTCTGTTTAGCCAAAAATCAGCTGTTTTATGACCAAATCTGTTTTATGATTATTACTTCGATATCATAAAGGAAAAAAGTGTTATCGGAGTAAATAATAGTAGATTCTTGCAGTACGGGAACAGACCATACATGTTCTTGTAAGCTTCCTATCTCCATTTATTCCCCCCTTCTTCTCTCCCCTATAGAACTCTCCTTATCTGGTTTCTTTTCGTGGATGATCACAATGGACCTGACGGTTTCAGGGTGCTGCAGCCACATAAGTGACTGCACATCCCCAAACCTAACCTAACCTATCATTGAGGAAAAAAATTCCCTACCAAAAATAATCAATATTGAGCCATGCTTCTGGGTAGCCCCATATATATCGGTACCCCGCGATATTGAAACTTTTGAGCACGTTCTTCAACAGAATTGGCTCTAATTTGATATTATAAGTTTTCACTGGTTACACAATATTTCAACTAACATTTTTCAATATTTATGAATTTTTGGAGGACACCCTGCCTCCATACAACGGAACCAACCTCAACAGACATGGCTGTATGTCCTGATTTATATTAGAAGAGTTTACTTGCGACAATTATTATCGTTCCCTTTTGAACTTGCTTCATGCGTCTATACAAGGCAATTCGGTTTCAAGAATATTTCTGTTTTCATTTGATGTCAATAGTTTTTTTCACATTTAAATAAATATAAAATGTCAACAAATACGAATACACAAAACGAATTGCCAGAAAATTGTCGGTACGAGCAATTTTTTCCATTTCTATTCCCCTTGCCCCTCTCTCCTAAAGTCAAAGACTTGCCGCAAGTAAACTCGCCTAATCTAAATTGGGACTATTTTTAAATAATAAAAAGGGTACTCCCCAAAAATGTCGGTATTTTGCGCAGTTTATAAAGATTTTTCAATTAAAATAGATGTAATATTATATTTTGGATTATTATTGGTTGTCAAATCTTCCCAACAAAAATGATCGATATCGGTCCTGATTTTGGTATAGCCCCTATATATTCGGTATTTTGAGAATTTCGGACATATTTTTAACCGCCACGCGTCATTTTCGGTATGTGCAATGTTCTATGCCCAACCTGAGCCTTGATCGGAGCCTTGAGCGTTAAAAGCGACAGCTTCAAAAATGACAGTTATTTAAAAAAAAAAAGATCTCTTGTCTTAAATTGCTTTATCAGAAGGTTCCACCATGGTACAATATTTAGTACTTTTCAGAACGAATGCAAAAACCCAGCCGTTTTACACTTCAAAATGTCGATTTTAATTTCAGCTGTATGGACGTTAACCATTTGCCTACCATTCTCTGCTATTTGTTATTTAGTATATATATATATATAGTTTCTATATGAACATTTTATTATAATGTATATTAATATAACGGTAAACACTATTAGTGTTGTATTTTCTACTAACTTCACACAATTGGCATTTAACGTTAACACTGGTCACATTGCGCCGTTAATATACCCAATAACTAACGCCGTCATAACAACACTACCAGCGGCTTCCTCATTTGTTACGAGATTTTCTATTTGACAGTTCGACCTGAACAGCTGTAAATGTTAGACGTAAGATTCGGGAGAAATTGAGATTTGCCGTGCAAAAACAAGAAAAAGTGACTGAGCGATATCAAAAATTAAATTGTAATGAAAAAGGATATAAGTTTTAACAACAAAAAAGCCCTGAATTATAATTCCAATTGCAATTTGTATATAAACAAATCCTCTGTGTGACGTTAACGAACGGCCTGCAACCATAAAAACGAAAGCAGCAGACAAAGAGAACGTGTGAAACAAAGAGTGAAAAATCTTGATTAAAAAAATCACATAAATTTTCCTTGCCTTACTACGAAAAGAAATATTTGTTGTGGGTTTCTTTGCGCAACGTGTGTTTCTGACATAAAATTTTGCAAACTGCTTAAAAATAGTTAATAAAGAAAAGCAACAACTACAACAAAAAATTATATAATAATTTCAATTGGCAACCAAATCACATTAACAAAAAAAAAATATTTTGATTTTTTAGTTTCTCTATTTTTTGGCTTTTGATGGTGATTGTTTTCTGTTGTCCAACAACACATGATAACTACATCAGCAACAAAAACAACATATAGGAAGAAGTGTGTATGAAACCCAAACAGGAGGAGGGTATCAACAACAACAACACAACTAGCAGCAAGCAATTTGGGGTCTAACCTACTCTGAAGCAACCAAAAAACAAGAAAAAAAATACCGACACAAAAAAAAGTTACGTGAATTATTTAATAAACAAATCACACACTCTCGTGCACCAGACAGCCAAACGAAAAACAGAAAAAAATATCCAGTGAAAGAAGAAAGAGAGAAGACAACACTAAAAAAAAAAATCATTCATTTATCTTCCAAACTTCAATGCCACACCACACCATCAGACATCCATCCAATCCAGTCAAATGCAATAATATTTGAATTTAGATTTTGGTTTGGATATATATTTTTTTTAACAAATAAGTGATAATTATTAAAAGAAACTACCTATAATTCAAAAAAGTGTGTGTGTGTTCGGTGCTTTAATAAATTAGAAACTGAAAAAATTGATTTTTAGAAATATATAAATCTATTATCAATCTCCAAAATACGTCATCGTCAACATCCATCACCAGCAGCAGCAAAAAAAGAAAGGAAATCGAAAGTACAATTTTTATATATCGCACATCTTTAATAATATCAAAT